CCACTCCACATGTCCCTGCCTGTAGAGTCCCCGAACATAGGCTCAGGACCCAGGGCCGTGGAGGAAGGGAAGGAGCGGGAGACCTTGGTTCCACCCGTCCCAGTTCCTCCAGAGACCAAGGCCCACGCTGACATGTAATTAGATCTACAGAGATTGTGTTGAGCCCTTTGGGGGCAAGATTAGGACATCATGCTGGATGGGTCTCAGGTGACAGCTTCTCCAGAGACTTCTCAGTGAGTCATCTTTCCCTTCAGGTCCTTGGCACTTCTACCATTGTCCTCCTCCTTCTAGCCTCACAGCATCCCTGAGAGCTAGACACTGTCTTTACCCTTATTTTACAAGAGAGGAAGCTTGAGCCCAAAGGTAAAATAACTCACTCTCAAGTTCACCCAACTGTAAATCCCTCAGCCTGAATTTAGCCCAAGTTGGCCTGGCTCGAGAGCCCAAACCCCTCTTACTCTGCCACAAGACCTCATGAGGAGCGTCGTACAGGGCAAAATAGCCTCAACTTACTGCAGACTGCAGAAGCCCAGACCATAAGGAAGAGATTGACGCTGTTGGTTATATTAAAGTATAAAACACTTGTACCTCGAAAGACTCCATAAATAAAGTGAAAAGACAAGCCACCAACTGGCAGAAGATTGTAGCGACAGACCTTGGATTAGAGCTCCCGCAAATCATTAAGAACGACACAAACAACCCAAGGAAACATGGCCGGGGATACAAAGGCAATTCATAGAAGAGAAAATCCAGACAACCGGTCAAATGATAAAAACATTTCAGCTCCACTGATCAGAGACACACAAATTAAAAACACAAATGAGAGACATTTGGCCCCCACCAGAGTGGCATAAAGTCTGACAATTCCCAACGTGAGTCTGGATGTGGAGTGACAGAAATTGGCCAGCCCTTCAGATGCGGTCGGGGAACGGCAGACGAAGCTGAAGAAGCTCCTGCACCCAGCGACCCCCTCCTCTGGGCACACACAGTGAAATGTGCAAGTATTTTCACGGCAGTGTAGTTTGTATTGTGGAAGACTGGAAATAACTCCAATGCCCATCTATGGGAACATAGATTAATAAATTGTGGCACATACTTAGTGAAATAGGTTAGGGTAGTGCTAACATGCACGCAGAGCTCAGCACAGCACGGATAGATTTCAAACAAAATGTTGAACAAAAACAAGCAAGTCGCTTAAACAGGAGGCTATGTACAAAATTCCATCATTTATTAAAAGTTTAAAAATCTGCAAAACAATGCTGTATATGTTTTATAAATATATACATATGCAGCACAAATACGAAAACATGTAGAGGAACAATGCGTGCCTACCTCAGGGAACACGGTGGTGACTCAGGAGGGAGGGGAATGGGCTGAGAAGTTCCTATTTATTTCTGATGTCTCATTTCCCAATCCAGGTCCTGGGAACATGAGAGCTGTAGGTATTTGTCCCCATGTTTTTCATATGTTAAATACTTAATTTAAAAAAAAAAAAAGCAGGGCACTGGAAATTGCTCCAAGGTCAGTTTTCTCCCAGGTCAATGATCACTGTTAGAAAATGTCATCAGGAATTTTCCTCCTAGTCATTGCTCCTAATTCTGTTCCTTAAGGATCCCTCATGAAAAACGCAGCTACTGGTGGCCTACATCTGTGCTGGCTCCTGCCCTCAGCAGGCTAATGTGCAGGATGGCAACTGTAGGGAAGAGGCTGCGTGTCCCAGCCACCCCCTCCATCGCCACCTATCTCTACCCCTCCCCACCCCTTCCGGCCTTCTCAGCAGATGGCTGCTTACACAGCGTGTTCTTTTCTGCAGCAAGTCCTTGAGGCAAAGGAGGCTCAAAGAAACCCCACCCATTTGTCAGGGGAGTTCTCTGCCAACCCCAAACTAGGCTCAACAAGCGATGCTCAGTGGGAAAAAGTGAGCTGGGAGTCAGGTCTTCTGCTGTTGATTTGTTGGCTGATTCTGAGCAAGAGACACAGCCTCTCTGAGCTTCTATGTCTCCGAAGGTACTCTGAGGGAGATGTACGGTCTAACATGGTGGTTCTGAACCTAGAAGCATCGGGATAGACTGAGGAGTTTTTGAACATGCAGATGCAGGGGCCTCATATTCAGGATTGCCTGAGGCGGACACTGGGATTTTATTTCTATTGAATTGCTAGATGATTCCAATGCATGGCCAAGTTTGGAAATCATTAGGTGGTCATCCAGGTTGGACATTCACAAAGGTGAGAAAGCTCTGTTCACATGGCCTTTGTTCCTCTCCCAACCCCCAGTGCCTTCCTGCATCCTTGTTAATCATCACCCTGAATAGTTTATGCCAAGCAGGGTGCTGGGTGAGAATGAGGGAGCAGATGAGCTTCCAGAATGCGGCCCCTTTCAGCCTCCCACTCCTTAGTAACTGCAGGGAAGCCGAGAAAGAAGGCAGGGAGGGGGGCAAGCACTCATACCCCTCCACAGGTAGAGGAGGGTCCAGGGGTAGGGACAGGCCCGTCTTCTGAATTCCTGCCCCTTTGCCACAAGGCCTGTCACCCCTTCTTCCCTACCTAGCAAGGGTAGGAGTCACCACAAATCACAGAATTCTAAAACATCAAAGGCAGACCAATGTTTTCTCAATTGCAGCCATTCACTGCTGTCTTACCACCTGTACTATTATTTAATTGGCACTTTCTTTTATATTGACTCACTGCTTTTTTTACTTGAATGCCTACTTTAGCCCCCTTCTAAGCAATAATATCTCTGAAATAACAGGTTTCATTTGCTAGTTATTTTTTTATTAATACACATTAAAATGAACACATAATGATTTCGATTTTAAAATGTCCATTTTAAAATCTATTTCTCTCCTGATGTCACTTTGTGCATCACCATACTTCCAGAAACTCTGAACTGGTCCAATTCTCTGGTTTTACAAAGATGCAAACTAAGGCTCAGGGAGAGGTGAGGCTTGCCAAAGGTCATGACACTGGGGTGGAACCCCATATTCCCACAAGCATCCTCACTGGAGATTAAGGGGTGTGCACCAAATGGCTTGTGATGGGCCCCAGGCACCCTGATGACCTTGACCTTTTGGGAGACCTTTCTTCGGTTCTGCACTGCCCCCTCCTGGCAGGTCCTTTTGCAATGAGGCTCCTCCAAATAGGGGCCTCATTGCAGAACAGGGATGATCCTGCCCAAGGTGAGAAAGAAGCTGGGGCAGCCAGGAAAAGCATGATTGAAGAGGTGGCATTTGCACTTGGCTCTGAAGGCTGAACAGACTGGGATGGGCTTGAATTAAGAAGTCGTGACTTGATCTTGTGGTCAGTCGTTCACCCGAGGGAAGTGTGATAAGCAGGGAGTGATGTGATGCCAAATACAGTGTGGAGAATGGACAGGGGAGAAAAGAACAGAAGCAGAGGCAGCCTGGGAGGAAACAACAGTATGGCAATGGTCCAGGCGAAGAGGAACATGGCCTGCCTCTGCCTCTACCCCACTGGGGTCCTCGCCAAGTCGATTCTTACCTCTAGGCCTATATCCTTATTGGTAAGAGGAGAGAGCTGGGCTCGATGCTCTCCAAGGACCCTTCCAGCTCTGAGAAATAAAACCACATAAATAAGAAATTATGCTAATGGGACTGTGAATTGCTACAATCCTTTTGGCAGTTAATCTGGCTTTTAGCTATTTAAATAAACCGTGCATCCCCTATGGCCCACTTTTGATTTCATCCTACAACAATTAAAGCTTGGGGTTGTAAGGATGTATTTTACTAGTGTGTTTAGAGCAGCACCATTGTATTAGCCAGAAAACTAGAAGCGAATAATCTATATCATGCTGTCTGTTACCTCTGTCTGTCAATCGACCCGCCCAGGGACCGAGCACTCCAGCAGCTGGAGCCTGTCTATATCCTGCCACTCACTGGCTGCATGGCCCAAGGCTTGATCTCTCTGAGCCTCAGTTTCTTCATCTATAAACAGGGCTGATACCAAGTCACATGCCTCATAAGGTGCTCTGAGGGTTACACCAGTTAGTGCTTGTAAGCCTTGCAGCACAGCCCTGGCTCAGGGTACCCGCTCTATAGATGTGAGCTGTTACCTTTACTCAAAAGCCTATGGCAGATTCAGATGTCTGGAGAAATGGCTCTGATGTGCTATTAAGTGCAAAAAAAGTTAGTTGCAGGGTTGTGTGTTTAGTACGATCTCCTTTTGTAAAAAAGAAAAATAAACAAAAAAGAAAAGGAGGTTAAAACCTTGTGGAGGATGTCTCTGTTTGTCCCCACACAGGAAGGATGCAAAGGAATCTGACACCAGCCTTGCCCCTCAGGTTGGCTGGGGAGGGGAGGGCCTGGAGTGTGGGAAGTGGGCTGGGAATGGATGAGAGGTTAGAAAGATTAACTTGGTCTCTATACATCTATCAATAGTTTAACTTGTTTCTTTGGTAATAACTTTTCAACCTTTTGTAAATCTTCAAAATCTCCAATGAAACTGAAAAAAAAAAAAAAAAGGAACAGAGAAATTATCATCCCACGAGAGGAAAGAAGCCATGGGAAACCTACTGGCCCAAGTGACTTGGCCAGAGAGAACCCACTGTTTCAGTGGATGGAGGGGCTGTCTCTGGGTCCTGGGGGCAAGGGCAGCCTTCCCAGATGGGCCCTGTTCTTGAGAGTTCCAATGCTGGTAGGGCGTTTTTCCAACCCCTTCAACCACAAAAAAATGCTGAGGATCAGAGAGGGCAAGAAAGTAGCCCAAAGTAACACAGCAGAGCCAGGCCAAAAGGGTAATTTCTTCACTCCTGGCCCAGTAGTCTCTCCCCTGCATCATGCTACCTCCCACCTCTGTGCAGGAGCCACTCCTGCTGGGGAAAAAAAAAGGGTATAATGCCCCACCAGCTTAGCTTCTTTTTCTTCTACTGACAGTTCTTCCTGTACTCATTTTCCCAGTGCCCTCACTGTGCCCTGATTGAGAATTCGAGATGACTAAGGCATGCTGCTTACTCAAGAGGCTCTCGCAGTTGAGTGGTTTGGAAGCTTCTGGCTTCTACTGCTAACGAAGATATCTTTTTCTAACTGGTAGAAAAATGCTCTGAGGCTAATTTTTTTTTAATGTGCTGTTTTGTTTGCTGCTGTCTTAATTGTTGCCATGTTATATTTTATCAGTTTAATGTTTTAATTTTGTGCTTGGGCCCTGCGGCAATTCAATGAAGGGTATGATTTGGAAAATCAAGGAAATAAAGAAATTGTCCACAGAAGAGGCAGCCTCCCAGGAGCCGAGGACAAAGCATAAGTGCCTCAAATGAATTTTATTAGGAACAAAACAAAAACAACCAACCTGTTACCAGATAGAAGGTATTAGGCCATCCTGGTTTGTTTTTATTTTTGTTTTTTAATTTAATACCAGTTCTCCATTTCTTCCAAGGTCAGCCAAGGACTCAGCCCCTGGTTCCTTCTTTATTGCCTTCTAGAAGCCTTCCGCATTTCTGTTTCCAGGCCTATACTCACGGTCTGTTCTGCCCTCCTCCCTTCGTCAAGAGCTGGGCTGTAACTACGCTTGCATTTGCCAATATTTATTGATGGGGGTGCAGCCAACAAAACAACCCCAAGTCTGCCTCCAGGGAATTTACTAAGGCTTGCATTCTACTGGGCAATAATGCCCCCGAGGGGGCGAATATTGGTTCTTGGAAGGGTGAAAAAAATCTACATGTTTTGGATGTTCATCACCCTGTTCCCTGTCTCAGTGAACAGCCCATCCAGCCACCTGGTCAGTAACTGGGCATATCCATCAACGAAGTGGCCAACCCTCTCCAAGCTCAGGCTCCTGGTTAAAGCCTCATTGGCCGCCTAGTGCACGAAGGCTTTCTCTGTCTCCCTGAAAATTGACCCCATCTGTCTTCACTTCCTTCCCAGCCTAGATCCCAGGGCCCGGAGACTGGGAATCTCTTTTGCCAACACTGAGACCCATGTGCCCTTTTTTGCCCCTGCCCGCACCTGGGTAGTAAGCCATGAAGCGGGAAA